ATGACGGAGCCTCCGTGACCTTGGACGGTGAGAACAGCAGTCGCTGACTGAACGTCCGTAAGCTCTCCCTCTTTTCCTCATAACCACCGCACGCATGCGCATGCGTGCGACCAGAACTTTGCATACCCTCCGAGCAGCCTCGCGATTGCATCTTCTCATCCGCACCATGGCCTCAGGATCAGGCGCAAGCCCTGCCCAGGCGAAGACGAAGCACGAGCGCGTCCCCATCTCCGCCCTCCCGCTCCCCCCATCCTCGCACTCGCTCATTTACGCGCTCACCCCGGATCCATACACCCCCACGCCCACCGCATGGCGCAGTACCCGCGCGGAGCGTCCGAGTTTGCAGCGCCGCGCGCGGTTGCTCGCACCCGAGGCGCACTTCTCGTACGTCGCTCCCTGTCCCCTGCCGTTCCCGTACCGCGTGGAGTACCCTGAGGATGCGGAGGGCGAGGCGCAGGTGAAGGCCGTGGAGGACTGGATGGTCGAGCGGGAGGCGCTGCGCGAGGTCCGTACTGTTGCAAGCTCGAGAGGAGCAGGGGCAGAGGGAGGTGGGAGGCTGAGGAAGTACGTCTCAGAGAAGAGAGACGAAGAGCGCGTGCTGATTGGGTTGGCGGAGACGGGGCTGAGGGACTGCGTGCCGCACTTGGACGTCGGGGATGCGTTTGAGTTGCTTGGGAGCCCGTCGCTGTCCATTCCGTCTGGACAGGATACGAGCTCGGGACCTGCGGTCGATGGGCCCGGTGCGGGCGAAGAGGCGGTTGCGGCGCGGCAGGAGCTCGTTGACGTGCTGAGCGGACATGCGATGCTGATGAGCGGCGAGGGCGAGGACGTGCAGTCGCAGTGGGCCCCTTGGTCTTTGCGGTATAGCGGACACCAGTTTGGGACATGGGCGGGGCAGCTGGGCGATGGACGTGCCATCTCTCTTCGTGAGTTCCTGAGCCCGTCGCGTATCGCGTCGAAGACTGACCTAGACTCGTAATTGGCATTTGACAGTGAGTACCCCGCACCCGGACGAACCGGACGTACAATATGAGCTCCAGCTCAAGGGCGCAGGTCGCACACCATTCTCGCGCATGGCGGACGGCTTGGCCGTACTTCGCTCGTCCATCCGCGAGTTCCTCTGCTCTGAAGGTACGTCTTGTACTATAGATCCAGGTCTGTGTTCTCAGTAATCTATTTACTCAAAATGATCCTGCAGCCATGCACGCACTAGGCATCCCGACAACCCGCTCTCTCGCCCTCATCTCCCTCCCGAAGCTCCCCGTCGAGCGCGAGCGCATCGAATCCGCCTGCGTCCTCACGCGCGTCGCGCCCTCCTTCATCCGCATCGGCTCGTTCGAGGCACTCAACCCGCCCGCACAGATGTTCTTCCTCGGAGGCGGCCAGCAGCCTGCCAACCTCGACGCGCTCCGCGTGCTGGGCGAGTGGGTTGCGCGCCGCGTGCTGCGGCTGCCTGATGTTCGGTGGCGCGGAGATGCGGGCGTGGAGGGCCCGGGAGATGCGTGGGGTACGAAGCTCGTGTTGGAGGTCGCACGGAGGAATGCGAAGATGGTCGCGGGTTGGCAGGTGTATGGGTTCATGCACGGGGTGATCAACACCGACAAGTACGTCTGGTATCTGTGAGGGGGCTCATGGCGTTGCCAATACTCATGCTCTTTGCTCGCAGCGTCTCGATCATGGGCTTGACTATTGACTACGGTTAGCGTCATCCGTAGCTTAATGTACTTTTTCTAGAACTGACCATCGATGCATAGGTCCATACGCCTTCATGGATGTGTTCGACTCATGGCATATATGTAACCACAGTGACGCGGAGGGTCGATATGCATACAAGGCAAGGAGCTCGCGTCTTCCAGTGCATCAACACTGGTTAACTTCCTTCTTGTCCCTCAGTATCAACCTGCTATGATGTCAGTCTGACCTCTACCCTCTGAACTACTTCGAGGTGTCAAACTGACGTATACTGCAGCATTCACGCACTGCGATCACTCCTCAACGCTCTCGCGCCCCTCATCGGGGCAGAGGATGAGCTAGGTGGCAAGGCCGTCTCCCCAGGTTGGGCTGAGGACGCGTCAGAGGACAAGATCAAGGAGTGGTCCAAACGCGGCATTGCCCTCGTTAAAGAGGAGATGGAGCGGGTTGCAGAAGAGACTTGCGCCGTAGAGTACGGCCGGCTCATGCACAAGGTGCGTCCTGCGCTCGTCCAGTCTTCCTCAGCCACGGACAGCTGACGAGGGTCTATCCGCACGCAGCGACTGGGACTCCGCCGGATAGACAGGGACGACGAGTCGAAGCTCGCCCGCCCGCTCCTGACGATCATGGAGGACCACAAGCTCGACTTCCACGGGACCTTCCGCCGGCTCTGCTTCTTCAAGCCCTCTCTCGCGTCCTCCGAGTCGGAGGACGACCTGAAGGCGTTCGTCGACAGCCTGCTGCAGCTCACGTCCGAGCCGGAAAGGCTGGACCGCATCAGGGCGCAGAGCGATTGGGCTGGCTGGCTCAGGCGATATGCAGCGCGGATCGAGAGCGAGCGGGAGCACTGGGGCGCTAATGTGGATGCAGAGAGGGAGAGCGAAATGAAGGGCGCGAATCCGCGTTTCGTGCTGAGGCAGTGGGTGCTCGAGGAAGTCATCAAGAAGGTGGAGACGGACGCCGGAAGCGGGAAGCGCATCCTGCGGAAGGTCTTGAATGTGAGTCGTTGTTCTTCCCCTCCGCTGTCGTGCCGTTGAAGTCATACTCATATCTGTTGAACAGATGGCTTGCAGCCCGTATGAGCCATGGGGCGGCGAGGGCCAAGAGCAGAGTGAGCAGGAGCTGGACGCAGAAGCTCGGGAAGAGCGACGATACTGCGGCATGGGCGACAGGAAGCTGCTCGGCTTGCAGTGCAGCTGCTCCAGCTGAGCAGGCGAAGTATATGTATAGTACTGTAGCATTACGTGCTCCCTGTATTCCTGGACAGGTGGAGTGTCAACCAGCCCGTTGTATGAATCCCATGCCAAGGTTCGTCCGAGAAGACAGTACAGGTGCGCAGCACACTTGCTGGCGTGCTGCGAGCGACGTCCAAGCAGTAGAGTACATTGAATTTCGTTCCGAATCATGCGTACGTACAGTACATCCATCCTTGTCCTGTCTATGCCTAGGTCGCGCTGCCGAAGATCTGGTAGCGTCTGCAGATGCTGGGGCCAATCTCGTCGTACTGTGCCTTCGTGTGGCAGAACGAGTAGAACTCGGGCTGACATGGAGCATCCTGCATGAGATAGGCCCCTCGTGCAGCACAAGCATACCACTCACCAAAGACGCCATGAGCGAACCACCGAACCATACGGCATAGCTGAGATGGAAGGTGAGCTTGTGCACGCGTAAAGTGGGAATGGGAGATACAGACCGTTGACGCTTGTGCGAGATGACGTCGACTTCGACGCCAGACGACTGTATGCAGGATAAGGCCGCGACCTTCCAATGAAGAGGATCATGATACTCACCCGCATCTGGCTGCCGCTTGCCGCCATGCTGGCGTCCAGCCGGCGGTCCACAATCTGCTTCAGGTCGCGCTTGAGACGGTTCCCAAAGTGCTGGAACATCGTGGAGCCACCGGAAAGCACGATGTTCTAGCAAGCAGGTGAGACTTGTCGGCATACAGTGGGGATTGTGTTTAAAAGGTGTACAGACCTTGTACAGACCTCGACGAACGTCAATAGGTGACTGCTGAATGACACCGTCGACGATCTCCGGGAGCGGTGTCAAGAAGTCGGACGAGTAGATCTCGGGGTTGAAGAAGATTTCGGGAGCAAGGAATCGCTCGTAGCCGACGTCAATCGCATATTTCTGTGCGGGTGCGTCGGTCAACATGGATGCGGGGCGGAGCATCCTTCTGTACGTACCCGTCCCGTCACGGTGTGCTCTCCCTCGTAACGCGCGAAGTACTTGTACGGCTCCTGGTCGTACTTCCTGAACTCCTTGACGATGTCCTGGCAGACGTAGCTGTACTGCTCCTTGACCTTGCCCGCAACCTTGAGGTGGTCTTCGGGAGGGACGTTCGCCATCTCCCCACGCTCACGCATGAGGTTCAGCACGAACTGGGTGATGTCGCGACCTGCGATGGGGATGTGCTTGATGGCACTGCCAATGACGTATCCCTCCGCGCAGGGGATTACGTGCGTCACACCATCTCCAGAGTCAATGACAGTACCCGTGAGCGTGCGGTCAGTGACGCGGTTCGACGACCAGGATGCGGCGAGGGCGAGAACGGCCTGCACGGCAATGTACAGACCCTTGATGTTGAACGACTCAAAGAAGATCTCCGCGGTCTGCTCGCGGTTCTCAGGGGGGTTCAAAGGGGGCTCGGTCTGCACAGCACATGGAATCGGGGTAGATCAGACGCTGCACGCGTGCTGCGCTGCAGGCAGAGGCGGGGTACGCACGAGGAGAAAGTAGTGGTCCTCAGGCTCCGCACGCAGGTACTTGAAGATCGTCTGCTCCCAGTACCGCTCCATGTAGTCCCAGTTCTCGATCTGACCGTGGCGGATGGGGTAGTTGACTCCATAGCCGGGAGTCTGAGCATTGGCCAGGGCCTCGTCGCCGATGAAGAAGTCGAGGTCCTCGACGCCGCGCTTGGACGCGAGATGACCAGGTTTGGAGGGCAGGGCAGGGCCTGTGCGACTGGGTTGTGCGGCGGGTCCACGGGTCGCTATCGCGGTGGGGAAGACACTGGGGTAGGATGAGCAACCCGACGGCGCAACACGAGTGGGATGGACCTACAAGGATGGATCCGAGTTCCCAGCATACCTTCGGGTGGGTCAGATACGATAATGAGTCCTCATGCCAGTCGCGCACGCACCCAACTTTGGAGAAACCGGTACCATTGTCGCAGATAATCGGCGCGAGGAGGGACATCGTCGTTCGGTACAGGCCAGGGCGTACTACCACTCCCGCACGCGCATCCTAGTAGACGCGAGCCTGGCCAGGCGCTCCCTGACCAGCCTGAGAAAACGATCAACCACGGGTCGGTGGCGTAGTCGGTTATCGCATCTGTCTAACATGTCGTGTGACGTGCACAGAAGGTCCTCAGTTCGAACCTGGGCCGACTCATGGCGAGTAGTGATTGGCCTTTTTCTTTCCATCACACGACGTCCAGATTCATGTCTCAGGAGTACAACAAGACGAATGCGTAGTACGGAATCACAGGCTTTGGCTCGTGCTGATAGCTGCCTCCACCCCCATTGTCCGCTGCTTTGCCTAGGCGAAGTCTAAGATCTGCGACGCTATAGAGGAGCAGACATGCGCTCACCTCTTCAATCAGATCATTCTCGATGACGGGGAGCGTCTCCAGCGGTTCGTTGTTCCACGTCGATACTGTCCAGCGGTTTGGCGGATTTTCGACGTAGAGACAGAAGTCTTCTGGGATATACTGTCCGTGCTCAGCCTGAAACTCAGCCCGGAGTAGTCGTTCCTCTGCGAGCCCTAGGTATCAGCCGCCGAGCCAATCTCGAAATGAGTGAGGACTAACCTTCAGTCATGGCATCAAGCTGCGCGGTCATAGTCGCCACAATCCGCTGTGCTGCTTCCCGGTACTGTTTGCGCCGCGCCAGCTCCAAGATGAGCTTGCTGTACGCGTATTGGTACGAGGTATACTTGTGGTGCAGCTCCTCGAGCGGCCGAAGTTGCGCGTGGAGGTAGGAAAGATGGTCTATGCTCTCGTTCTGCATATTGCGCAATCGATGAGAACGAATGAGAACACACAGAAGAGTTGAGAGCCGTACCTCGACATTCTGCTGTCGTTCGAGCATCTCTGACATGATATCGCCGAGCTCGTCAAGGTCGGTGAGCGTCCGCCTGTGCACTTGAAGATGTTCCTGCGCTGCGGTCTTCGCGGCCAGCAGTTGTTCACTAGAACCGGCAATGTGAGCACATGTGACGCTAGCTACACATATGAGAAGACTGACTGGAATCCTTCAATGGATTGCATGCTACTCTCTAGCTCGGAGATGATGACGGGGAGCGCCTCCGCGTCCTGGGTCATGCCTGCATGCCATGTAAGCATGACGCGGTGAACGACGGAGCTGCAGTTGACCTTGCATATCTTCCTCCCCAAACTCCTCTCCCGCTTCAAAGTCGTGTAGAGCATTCGACATGTTGTGGTAGTGGTGAGCAAGCGACTCAAGCTCCTCCGCCATCTTCGTCGACGTCGCCTCCTGCAAGGAGAAAATCTCGCTAAATGAGGGCAACGGGACCTCGACGGGGACCATCTCCCTGATAGCCCCGATCGTCTTCGACAGCGACTCAGGGTAGTCCGATGTAGTTGCGAGAATGTCCTGATGCGACAGTTCACCGGAGAGTGAAGCACAGTAGAGGGAAGAACGCACATCGAGCTCTAACCGTTCCTTCTCGATCGTGTCCAGCAAATCCTCAATCGCACGCTCATTCACGAAGTCCCGCAACGTCTTCCACCGACTCCGATCTGCCCTCCTCCGGTCCCTGCGCTGTTGTCGCCTCAGCACTGGCGACCGGTTGCGAATGGTGTCGGTGGGGCTCATGCGCGGGCTCGTGCTTGGCTGGGGAGGACCAAACGGGGTGGTGTCGTCGTGGGGATGGTACTCTTCCTGCTCATCATCGGAGTTATTCTGGCTGCCAAAAGGCGAAGAGTCCGCGGAGACGGTGTGGAAGTCTGGCGGGACAGTCTGCGTGCCCAGGGACTCGAGCACAGCGTCGAGCGCGTCGGTGCGTTGGTTGCGGATGTTGTCCCATTCCTGGAAGCAAGCGCAGCGTCACGGCGACATGTTGAGTGGGCGACACATTGACAACGCGTACCTCAACCTGTCTGTCGAGCTCAGAGCGCTTCTGCTCTATGCTCTTCGCCACTTGGGCAGCAAGCTGGAGTGGTCGGTGGTCGATCAGGATGGGGCCTCGGCGGTCTGAGGACGTGCCATGGACGCACCTTGAGCTGGTCAAGCACCGCTTCGGACATCCACCTGACCTGAGCATCCAATGCCAGTACGTCCACCGCTGTCTGGGCCGATGCAGCAGAAACCGAGCTGGCATGCAAGCATAGTTCTTGGCCTTGCTGCAATGCCTTCTTGGCTTGGAGTACGAGCTCGACGATATGCGGTTGCTCATGCTCAGGGTGAGCAGACGGTAGTTCCAGCATTGTAACGGTCTCAAGCCTCAGGGGTCACCAGAAGTCGGCAAGCGCAGGTGGTTAACAAGTAGCTAGCACTGCAGACACATCCAATGCGGTTCTATGGAACTGACAGTACTAGTAGTGACCAGTGGCAGTGGGTCCGGAGACTCCGGATACATCGGTCCGGGTTCCTTTCGTTCCGTCATGGCCAGTGGCTGCCCAGTGGAGCCGCGCGCCCACTGCCCTTCCTCGGAACCACGTCTTGCTGCACCGTCTCTACTTACTCAGATACCTGGCGACATCTGTTCAATCAACCTCCTGCTTCCCTCTAGAACTATGTCCTTGTCGAACAACACTCTTCGGTCAGCTGGGAAGCTAGTGGGCAGCCGGAGCATTACAGCGACACATCCCTATGTTCGGACTTTCGCGACCGCTGCGACGAGGGAGAGTGAGAAGCAGGTGAGGGCCTCGCTCAATGCGGCTTCTTATACCCTCTATTGAGCAAGACATGCATAGGCCGCCACCGAACATGATCCCAGTCCGAAGGAGCTCGAGGAAGTTTCGGACAAACGGTCACGCCCAAACGACAAGGCCAAGGAGAAGATGTCGGTGGCGGAGAAAGACGCTGCAATGATGAATGCCTGGAAGGAGCGGCAGGGCTCGCTAGCCAACACGGAGTTTGAAGGTGGACAGGTCGAGGGCGGTTATCGTCGGAATGTGGTACGTACCTAAGAATTCGGTTCCAGCAGGAGTAAACCCGTGTGTTGACTACGTCACAGAAAGCCAACATCTTCCGTTACATATGACAACTATGTACCTCACGTCTTATCCTCTGTGTACTGTAAGTTGTTACTAGCTATTCCAGGTATAATATGTACTTCACATGAATGGTCGACAGCCGGTGCATCGGGAGCATGGTCACGGACAGGGCTCCAGTTCGACTGCTGCCATGAATGCCACTGTATCGCAAGTTGGGCAACATAATGTCGAAACCATGTGGGATCTCATTTACGCCGTTCTCGAACAGTTGCGTCATCTATCCCCCCCGGGAATCGACTGGAAGACGCATTGTCCACTACGCACAGGTTTCTTCAAGATACCTCCTTCCTTGTGGTGTCAGTCTCTGTCACTTCGTGAGCTGTCCTCGACACTTAGGACCTCCATTCATCAGATAACGATTTACGTAGCAGAACTGGCACAGATTGCAGTTCTGTCGATCATCCTGGATATTCAAGCCATGGTGCAGTGCGCTGTCTCGAAAGCTCCACCGGGTAATGCGATCTTACTCAGGGCATTGGGCGTACTCTGCTATGTTTGCAGATTCGACCATCTTCACTGCAGCCAAATTGGATGTCCAGCATGTCCAGGACTTGGTCATGTAAGTTCGCGTCTTAATATCGAACAGAATCAGGCTCACGTTTGCGATTGACGGCGCCTTCAAGGAAGTTACTGACCCGGCCTAAATCACTGTGACTCAACCTCAACAAGCCCACGAGCAGTTGCACGTGAGCGAATTTGCTCTCTATGATGCTTTTGGCACGAATGATATGTTTCGCGTCCTCCAGAAAGCGATCATAGCAGCAGGGCGTACTTCAGCTCATTGGTTCGAAAAGTGAGTAATTTCAGATGATGACATGCGCAGAGAACGTGCTCGTGTTTTGATGCAGTGAAAGGGATGAGTACGGGAAACGAGAGGGTTGGTGGTAACCCCAGACAATCGAGGCTTCAACCTCCAGTTGACGTAGAAGTCGGGCCTGACTCTGGGTTGGATGCGGAATGGGAATGAGTCAATAGGGTTGCAGTTGTCCCCTGGTACCTCCACGAGCAACATACTCCAGTCACCGAGTCGACTCGCGGGCGATTCACTGTGTCGCGGCTGTGACACAGTCTCGTGATTGTGACAACGCGCGACGGGGGCCAATACGAATTACGGCGATGGTCGCGAGACTCCGGTCGAGTGACAGGGACTTAGCTGCGATAGCCAAGCAGCTCCGACGCATTGTCCGCGTCATGGGCCAAGGCCAGCTCTGGGGCTATTTAGACTCAGATCTCCCGTGCGTCCCCATGCTAACTTGACCATCGTTCACCATGTCCTCCGCAAGCCCGCCCGCTCGGACTCTGCTCGGGTTTCGACTCTCACGGCAAGACTTCCAGCAACAGATCGTACGGGCTCGTACGCCCCGGGCAACCGCTGCCAAAGGAGATACGGTCTCGTCGCAGAAGAAGCAAGCCATCGTCATTCGCGGGTACAACGACGATGCTACAGCCGCAATCCGGACAGCTGCTGGGGGCAGAGAAGAAGTCTTGAAGGCCTCCTACATGATTGGGAAAGACATGGTAATGTTTCCTGGTGCACGGGACGACAAGTCGACGCGCATATAGTCAACTTACCAGAGCCGCTCATAGTCCACCATCGTCGAGCAGGTCGAAGATGCTCTACTCATTCCCAGCAAGCACTGAGTGAGTCTCTCGCCGTCTGCGTGCGCCGGTTATGTGCTCATCCTACTCTTCCAGCGCCTGACATCGAAGTCATCTGTCAGAAACCCCGAGGACACTCTCATGTACAGCGAGAAAGCTACAGATCGTCCTATCGGTACGCCCTTATGATCGTTGGTCCTCACCTCGTCTGAGCAAGTTGATATCTTAGGGCTGATCCTGGTTCCCGAGGACGCGATCGTGGAATACCTCTCCAAGCACGACTATATGCGCCAGTGGAAGCGCCTCAAGCTTTCCCCGACGTCTCCGCAGGCAAGCTCTATGGATATTCTCGCGCAGGCACAGTCCATGTTCCATCTCCTATCGCTCTCCAAGGACCCGCACTGGGCAGCCTACGTAGCTCAACGACAGGACGCCGAGTGGACCTTCGTGCGGATGCGAGAGCGTCTCGGCGCAATGGAGACGTCCGCCTAGTTCTTCTGGACAAGATCAAGAACGCTACCAGGTCCGTCCTCGAACACACCAAACTTACCGC